TTTTTGCAAGATGATTGAAACACAATTTGATAAGAAGATTAAGCAATTCCGGTCAGACAATGCGGCTGAATACTTTGAAAGATCCCTGAACTCATTCRTGGAAKATRCAGGCATGTTACACCAATCATCCTGTGCTAACACCCCTCAGCAAAATGGGGCTGTTGAGCGTAAGAACAGGCACCTATTGGAGACGGCTCGAGCCCTACTATTCCAGCACAAAGTGCCCAAGCAATATTGGTCTCAAGCTATACTCACTGCATCATACCTGATAAATCRGATGCCATCTAAGGTATTGGGTATAAAGACTCCTTTCTCTGTTCTATGTCCCACTCTTCCAGAATTTTCTCTTCCCCCACGGGTTTTTGGTTGTACATGCTTCATTCATGTGAAAGATCCAACGAAAACCAAACTGGATCCCAAGGCTACAAAGGGAATATTTTTGGGGTACTCTCCTACACAAAAGGGGTACAAGTGTTATGATCCTATCTCCAAGAAAAAGCATGTCACCAGAGATGTAGTCTTTTTTGAGTCTCAACCCTATTTCCAGTCTTCTCAGAATCCTYTTYAGGGGGAGASTWRTGGGWTGGAAGAGGATTCTCATTCTCCCTTCTTTTTTGTTCCCCTTTCATCACCTTCCACTACTCCTAGCTGTGACATTTCGGGTCAACCTAGTGAGGCTCCCACTGTGCCAATTACTTCTCCTGATACAGCAAATGCTCCTGAGGGTTCCAGTAGGCAAGAGAAAGAGATACTTACATACAACAGAAGGAAGAAGGGGCCCTCAACCTCATGATTGCAACCAGATGAACTCAGATCAATCTGTCTCTACAATCCAAGGTAATTCTGACTCACTCACTTCAGATTTGGATCTTCCTATTGCTCTCCGTAAGCCTATTCGTTCTTGTACCACCCAGCATCCCATAGCTGATTTTGTTTCTTATTCACACTTATCTCCTGCCTATCACTCCTTTGTGTCTGCTCTTTCCTCTGTATGTGTCCCTTCTAGGTACTCTGAAGCGGCATCTGATCCAAGGTGGAAAGAAGCCATGAATGAAGAGATGAAAGCCCTAATGAAAGCAAGAACGTGGGAATTGGTGGACCTGCCAGAGGGGAAAGGCACTGTTGGGTGCAAGTGGGTATTCACAGTAAAGCA